GTAATGAGTAATAATAATAATTGCAATGTTAGTCCTTCTAGGTAATGAGTAATAATAATAATTGCAATGTTAGTCCTTCTAGGTAATGAGTAATAATAATAATTGCAATGTTAGTCCTTCTAGGTAATGAGTAATAATAATAATTGCAATGTTAGTCCTTCTAGGTAATGAGTAATAATAATAATTGCAATGTTAGTCCTTCTAGGTAATGAGTAATAATAATAATTGCAATGTTAGTCCTTCTAGGTAATGAGTAATAATAATAATTGCAATGTTAGTCCTTGGTGTTAGTCCTTCTATTAATGTACAATTCTTTTTGCACGCTGTACAACTAATTAATGCAGTCAAAAGTTAATGTACAAAATTATATGCATGTTGTACAAGAGTATTAATGCAGTGTTGGTCCTTTCCAACTCTCACTTCTAAATAAGAGTAATATAGGCATAAGCCTATTTGCATAGAAGACTTGGCTGCCAATTTTTTGCTTGAGGCCAAAGGACCAATATGTGATGGAAACTTTATGTAGTCCATTTTCTTTTATGTACTTGGGCTTTAATTTTTTTCCAAGGAGTTCTTTCACTTCAAAACACACTGAAAAATAGTGAGAATCAATATTGACCAAGAGAGTAATCCACATATACAGTGTAAGAAAACAGTTTGTGAGAAAAAATAGAATCGGAGAATCTTCCTGGTCCTGGCGAGCTTGGAGAGCATACAACCTGTTCTTGCGCTGACCGCCACCTGTTCCAAACGAAGCACCTTGCTGAGTTGGGTGACCTGCTGGTGCTGCTGGAGCTGTAGACTGAGCCTTATTATTGTTACCTCTTTGCACCTGCCTGGCAGAAGGGCAATTCTTCAACCTATGGCCAGACTGACCACACCCAAAGCACCCTTCCTTGCCTGCAAGACACTCGTCTGGATGGTTCTTACCACACTTTGAACAAGTAAGGAAAGTCATGTAACCTGAAGCGCCCACCTCCACCCCCACCCCCCGAGACTTAGAGCTTGATGCCCTACCATTCTGATCCTGTCGAAACCTGGGGATGGATCACTAGCTGATGAAGGTGCCGGGGCTGTAGATCTCTGCTGAAACTGTGAGCGAATTATACCGTTCGACTTTTGTTGTGAGTATTCATAGTTTCCTCTTCTGGTCTTTTTGTTATCCTTAGCCAATCCCCTAAGCTTATCTCCCTCAACTTGCAGAAAGAATATTTATTGCTACAAAATCTAAGCTATGAATTTGAAAATTGTAGCTGTTACCTAGTAGTAGCCATAAAAATTTAAATTTCGTGGCTATCTAAAAATTTATCAAATTACATAGCCACGAATATTAGGTTGACAAAGCTAAATCCTTGTATTTGCTATAATTGCTAACAATAGTGGCAATATTTATCTAAATAACTACAATTTTATTGCTAAAATAAAATTTTGTAGCTAATTATAGCTTTTTTGTTGCGCAATAAAAATAATTGTATCAATAGTAACTCTTTAGCCATAATAAGTTATTTGAAATAAAATATCGTAGCAAAATAAATAATTTTGCTTCAAGCTATAAAAAGACATGACAATAGATAAATGAAATACCCATAGAATTTTTGCTACCGCAAAATTTCGTAACCAATTAATTTTTTTTGCCACAAATTCAAATTTATCGTGGTAAGAATAACCTTTTAGCCAGAATAACTCATTTGAAGAAATATTTGTAGCTAAATAAATAACCTTAGCACTTCAGGAGAGCCATAAAGGCTCAAACTCTTTCCCGTCGAGTCATCCAACCGTCAAGACCAACGAACAGGTCCCGGAGTTGAAAGAATGCACAGCAGATCGAGAAATTGAAAAGATTAGGCCAAAGGCCCAGTCTTAATTCAAAAAATTATATTTTTGGGCCTAAGGCCCAAAAGAAAGATATCTATTTTTGTTAGACTAGGCCACATGTACCAGTGATTTAAATAGGGCCGCCAAAGGTCCAAAACGAAAATGGGCCCAAATATTGGCTCAGGCGGACAGGAAAATCGGATTTGGGCCCAAGTCTCTTTCCCTCTTTGCCTTTATTGTGTTTATTTGCTTATCAATACCTGCTACTTAATCTTAAGGTTTTAAAAAATCAAAATCCCCAAAAGACACCCGTTTTGAATTAATTACTTAACTAAATTATTCATCTTTTACTTAAATAAATAAATAAGTTTACCAAATATTTCACTTAGATAAAATCTTAATATTTCCCCTTTCTCGGTCCTAATTATAAAAATTATTCAATTCAAAATTAAGTCAAATAAATTTAGCCTTATAGTTAATTACCGGATAACCGCGTGTTAGCAGGCATTTCGGGTGCTTTCAAACCCTTCTCGAAATGCTAATATGAACCCTGAACCCCTTAATTATTTTTCATTAGATTTTCTGTTTTTAATCTTTTGGAAAAAATAGTTTTCTTAATTTTTTACTTTAAAATTAAGTGGCGACTCTTAAAACCAGTCTAGTATATTTTTTTAAAAATAAAACCTTAACCATGTATAAATAATATGATTTTCCGCCAAAGGGGGTTCGATGAACCCCTAACTATAAGGTGGCTTCGTCATTGCTGGTCAAAATAATTTGAATTCGTGTTGTGTATGTTTCATTTAGCTGGTAAGGTTCTCCTACTAGGGCTGATTCAAAACTAAAACCTCTAATTAAAAGATCATGTCATCACATTGTTAATTAGTATGTTTTGCAGCTTACCAATTTTTATATATCTCTACAATTAAAATTTACGTGTGATTGACTTTCTTAGATGATATGATAATATAAAAATTATATTCCCATTTCCTAGACTCTTTTTTAAAAAAAACTATTTGTGATTAATCTTGATACACTAGAAAACTAGTGTTAAAGTTGATGAAATGTAAACTCAACCCCTTTATGCTATAAAAACTTTTCTTCCAAATTACAATTTTAATAATCGAATATTAAGTGAACGCGAAATATTTTGTGCACAGGATAAAATCGACAAAACAAAACCTTATGTAGGAGAAAATATTACTTACAAGAGCATTTAAGGCTCCAGCCTTGAAACGATGAGGGCTCGATGGTTTCCTCTCACGTGACATAAAAACTAATTGTGGCAATTTGCTTTCCTTATTATCATGTATCACCTGCACCTCATAAATATTTGATTATTATTGTTAATCTCACCTTAATTACATTTTGTAACCCTAAAATTTTCTTACATCGGTGTTAAGTGTTAACAAATCAAAAAAATTAAATGAAAAATACTATAAGTTACAATTCTCGTTGTATTAATATTATTGAAAAAAATATCTTTAAATATTTGTTAAAGTCTATACAGTTTGACACTCGCACTACTAAAAAATTACTATTTTTTCATTTAAATTTTCTACTAAAAACTATTCGGTGATTATTTCTGCAGATATTTTAATTAAATCAATAAGAAAAGAAAATATATCCAACGGTTATTCCTAGTCTTGTAAAAATCTATTTCTTCCCATACATTTTTTTAAGTGAATTTAGATTGAAAAATCGTATTTTATAAAACCTTTATTTATAATAATATCAAAAAACGAAATAAGTAAAAGTGAACGGAGGGACCTCAAGGAGGTCGATCCATTCTGACGGATCCTTCAACACTATTGGCTTTCTCTACATTTTTCTTGAATACTTCATATGCCGCCTGCACAATAAAACAATAATATTTCACTATCTTATATATAAAGTCCATATTACCCTTTATAAAACAATAAAAAAAAAAAAAAATCAACCATGGACAAAATTATTGTTGAAATCACAATTATAAACAGATAAACTAAAAACATATATTATTATTAGAGAAAAGTAGTGAAAATACACCTAAACTCAACGCAGAATATTAGTTTCATTCTTGAACTATTGATAGACTTAAAAACACCTATTTACTTGACTAACTAAACTTAAATACACCTCCGATCTTACAACATGACTAAAATACACCCCTAAATATTCACCAAGTTTAGTAGTGTTATCAAGACTTCTCTCGACTTTTATTAAGAGATTCATGCTCCGACAAGAATTTGAGACCACTTGTATGTCATGTGGCAGATCGGGGGTGTATCAAGAGTGTATCTGAGCTTAGTTAATCAAGTAAATGAGCATTTTTAAGACTGTCAATAGTTTGAGAATAAAACTAATATATAATTTACGCCAAATTTAAAAGTACTTTCAATACTTCTCTCTTACCATGATATTTTATATTTATGTGATATTATTTTCAACAACAATATACATGGTAAGCGCAGACTTTATAAATTATTGCTTATACGCGTGAAAGCCACCATTTAAAATTTTAAATAATATAACTCACTGCACCACTAGTCCACTAGCATTTAACTGAAATATTTGCTGCTTATTGTCAAAAAAAAATAATTCCAAACAAGTGGCTGTTAATTAATTTGTTTGAAATGAATCTCATTCTTATCATCTTTCTAAACTTTTATAAAACTTGCATCAAATATATATAGGATTTCATAGTTCAAAAGAGATTTGATTTTCCTAAGTGAAACTTTTGATTCCGTCACTGCACAAGATGGTACAATAAATTCAAGACACATTCTCATCTAACTATGATAAAAACAGAGAACTAAAAGCCTTTGATGACACGAAAGCCGGTGTTAAATGCCTTGTTGATGCTGGAATTACTCAAGTGCCTCGGATATTCATCCATCCAGAGGTCTCAGGCTCGGGGCCTTTCCCGATCCTTGAGGAAACACATTTTGTTTTTCCAATAATAGATCTCAAAAACATCAATAAAGATCCTATCAAGCACAAAGAGATTGTTAAAAAAGTTGGTAATGCTTCAGAGACATGGGGATTCTTCCAAGTGATCAATCATGGTATTCCAATGTCAGTCCTGGATGAAATGCTATGAGGAGCATGAGGTTTTTTCGAGCAAGATATTGACGTTAAGAAGAAATATTATCATCGCGATTATACACGGAGAGTGGTGTACAATAGCAATTTTGATTTGTATAATCCTAAAGCTTTAGCAGTAAATTGGAGAGTCTCACTATATTCTACTATGGGTCCTGAGCCTTTTAACCCTGAGGAATTGCCTGAGGCTTGCAGGTATATATTTTCTGAAAATTACTTTGTCTGTTCATTTTATATGACACTCTTTCTATTTTAAGACGTTTTAAAATGTTTGACACCATTCCATGTATATACAAGTTTAGCAAACCTTCAAGAATATACAATTCGTTACACAATTTTAACTATGAATCTATGATATGTTGTTATTTCAATGAACCTAATTTTTCAATTATTGCTTTAGTATTTTCTTTCATGTCTATCATTAATATGCCTGTCTGTTTCATTTTATGTGATATTATATGTTACTCTTTGAAAAGTCAAAGAGTTTCTTCTTTGACCATATTTTATAAGTAGAGTATTTTGAATTATTAACTATTGCGAGTTAGTAATATATACTTTTTATATGATTTTTAAATATGAAAATTTTGTTTTAGAAAAATACTCCAATGAAAGTCTACTTTTATCTTAAACTCTATTTCTAGTCAAATACTATGTCATATAAAAGAAAATATACATGGAATATTTTATCTACTTTCAACAATTAAATTTTATAAACTTTACTTGCATTCTTGAAGGGAAATAGTAATGGAGTACTCACATCATGTAATGAAAATGGGATGCACTTTGCTTGAGTTACTCTCAGAGTCTCTTGGTCTAAAAACAAGTCATCTCAATGAAATGGAATGTTCAGAGGGTCTTAGCATTTTGTGCAATTACTATCCATCATGTCCACAGCCAGAATTAACCATAGGTCTTAGCAAACATACAGACAATGACTTCTTCACAATCCTTCTACAAGATCATATTGGAGGTCTCCAAGTTCTTCATCACAATCATTGGGTTGATGTTCCTCCTACACCAGGAGCTTTAGTTATCAATATCGGAGACGTTCTCCAGGCAAGTCTCTTACTTCTTAATAATCAGTCGAATTCAGGATCTAGAGTCAGTATGTGAAGAATGAGTATGATATATAGTATCACATGTATTTATAAGACAAGTCTTTTTCTTATTCTTACTTCCTAGCTAGTCGAATTCAGGATCTAGAGTCAGTAGGTGAAGAACGAGTATGATAGTATCACATGTATGTATAAGACAAGCCTTTTTCTTATTCTTACTTCTTAACCAATCGAATTCAGGATCTATAGTCCGTAGGTGAAAAACGAGTATGATAGTATCACATGTATGTATACACTAATATTTTTGTGCATATGTATAAATAGGTCATAATCAACTTATATTTTTGTGTGAACTTTGTATTTTTCAGCTCATATCAAATGACAAGTACAAAAGTGTAGATCATAGAGCATTGTCAAACAAAATTGGTCCAAGAATATCAATAGCAAGCTTCTTCAGCTCAGGGCCATTGCCATCTTCCAAACTCTATGGACCAATTGAGGAGTTGCTATCAGAAAACAATCCCCCAAAGTATCGCGCAACGACATTGAAGGACTTTTATGATTATTTCAGCCAGAAAGGACTTGATGGAACTTCAAATCTATCTCACTACAAAATCTAAATGGTAGGGGTTCGTTTGGTTCACATTCTAGTTATGTGGGGATTGTAATGCAAGAACTTTTATTCAATGAATAATAAATAAATTGAACATACCGTGACACATGATTTATTTATGCTTAATATGAGTTTTGGAGTATACTGTTTGGATAAATTTTAATAGCTCAGTTGGTTAACTATCTGAAATTGAAAAGATCGGACCCATGAGAGCAAATAAAGTATACTCTGTTTTTTTTACAAATATGTCATGTTTGTCTCGATCGTAGTTATCTCTTTGGTGAAAGTAGATTGTCAAAAAAACACCAATTAACACATAGTTACATACTGGAGAAGGAGAGTATAGAGCATTGTAAAATACACTTTCTTCATCACAAAATAAGTGTCGCTTTAAGCTCGTGATTTCACATCCATTAAGAAAACAATAAACGTAAGATATAGTTACATACTGGGACAATTTTTTTTGGTTGTTGCTAAAGCAACATATATTTCGATTTTTGAATAGCTACCATAGGAGTCTCCTTTGGTTATAAATTATTGCTTATACGCGTGAAAGCCACCATTTAAAATTTTAAATAATATAACTCACTGCACCACTAGCATTTAACTGAAATACTTGCTGCTTATTATCAAAAAAAATAAATTCTAAACAAGTGGCTGTTAATTAATTTGTTTGAAATGAATCTCATTCTTATCATCTTTCTAAACTTTTATAAAACTTGCATCAAATATATATAGGATTTCATAGTTCAAAAGAGATTTGAATTTCATAAGTGAAATTTTTGATTCCGTCCCTGCACAAGATGGTACAACAAATTCAAGTCACATCCTCATCTAACTATGATAAAAACAGAGAACTAAAAGCCTTTGATGACACGAAAGCCAGTGTTAAAGGCCTTGTTGATGCTGGAATTACTCAAGTGCCTCGGATATTCATCTATCCAGAGGTCTCAGGCTCGGGGTCTTTCCCGAGCCTTGAGGAAATACATTTTGTTTTTCCAATAATAGATCTCGAAAACATCAATAAAGATCCTATCAAGCACAAAGAGATTGTTAAAAAAGTTGGTGATGCTTCAGAGACATGGGGATTCTTCCAAGTGATCAATCATGGTATTCCAATGTCAGTCCTGGATGAAATGCTATGAGGAGCATGAGGTTTTTTCGAGCAAGATATTGACGTTAAGAAGAAATATTATCATCGCGATTATACACGGAGAGTGGTGTACAATAGCAATTTTGATTTGTATAATCCTAAAGGTTTAGCAGTAAATTGGAGAGACTCACTATATTCTACTATGGGTCCTGAGCCTTTTAACCCTGAGAAATTGCCTGAGGCTTGCAGGTATATATTTTCGGAAAATTACTCTGTCTGTTCATTTTATATGACACTCTTTCTATTTTGACACGTTTTAAAATGTTTGACACCATTCCATGCCTATACAAGTTTAACAAACCTTCAAGAATATCCAATTCGTTACACAATTTTAACTATGAATCTATGATATGTTGTTATTTCAATGAACCTAATTTTTCAATTATTGCTTTAGTATTTTCTTTCATGTCTATCATTAATATGCCCTGTGTGTTTCATTTTATATGATATTATATGTTACTCTTTGAATAGTCAAGGAGTTTCTTCTTTGACCATATTTTATAAGTAGAGTATTTTGAATTATTAACTATTGCGAGTTAGTAATATATACTTTTTATATGATTTTTAACTATGTAAATTTTATTTTAGAAAAATACTCCAATGAAAGTCAGCTTTTATCTTAAACTCTATTTCCAGTCAAATACTATGTCATATAAAAGAAAATATACATGGAATATTTTATCTACTTTCAACAATTAAGAAGGGAAGTGCATTTTTGTTGCAACGGGTTCGCGATGCCATAGTTTTCCTGCAGTTTTACGATGTCTTGTTGTTCTATTTACGGTTGAACTTTCCCAACCCTTTTTAGCATTCATCTTTGTTTTTTCCTTTAGCCGGCAATTTTAAACGTTTGAACAAACACTATTTAGATATCAACATTGCAATATGAGGAATATCTAGTTGATATTTATACATTGTTATTATCTGTAGCCATGTTGGTTCTCTTTGCATCCATAATAGGCAACTAATCATTTTGCAGCAGTTGCACTATTTCATGCACAGATTGAAAATCTTGCTTGTACTAATATATTTTATATTATTTTTCACATAATGGACAAGGAAAAATAAACGGAGAATCATTTGTATTTACAGCTATCAAAGTCTTGACATATGCCAAATGAAAAGTACCTACAACAGTAATGGAGGTGCGCACTAAATAAAAACACGTGTTTTTCCCAAAGATCTTTCCTCGAAAAAAACCCAGCTTTTGTCACCAGGAGGCGTATCCAGGAGGGGGTCATCGGGTTCACGTGAACCTATGCGCCCCTCCTAAAATCATATATAGTAGTGTTATATTTTTTTAAAAATATTTAAATATAGATGTGTAAACCCACATTTGAAGTACCATATAATGTCGTATGATAATGATTGAGTGCACCTCTAGTGAGGCTAGAAATTTGAATTTTTTATTTATCTTGTTTTATTTTTCTTTCTAAAATTGGGCAACGCCTCTCTAAGTGGTTTGGATAGGTAAAAATAATTTTGGACCTACAATTTTAAAATTTTAATGGTTTTCAGTGATAAAAACCTAAATGTTAAACCGATCAAATTTATATCTTAGATCCACCTTTTTGTAATGGTACACCCATCATCACAAAATCCTGGATACGTCTCCGCTCTCCCAATCTCGCTTGTTTCTCTTCTCCCTCTCCCAGTCTCGCTCGCCAGATATACAAATACATATGTATAACAGTTACATATACAATTATCTGACATATATACATATATAATTCGATAGATATACATATACAATTCGTCTCTCTGCCCTCTCTCGCTCGCCTCTCTTCTCCCTCTAACATGTAGCTACAAATCGTAATTAACAAACTATAACTATAGAGCACAATTAAGTTATTTTTGAATGATTATATGAAAAAAGAAAAGGAAAAAAAGAAGTACCTAGATGGACTTGGATCCATCCTTTCTGAGGTAGGCAGCTCCATATAATGATTTGGTTTGAAATGGGCTGGTAAAATGTAGCCATAAGTTTAAATTTTATGATACTTAGTGACCACGAATATTTTCTGATAACAACAAATTTAAATTTTATAAGTAGTACGTTATAAATAGTGGAAAAATAAAAAAATTCGTTAAGAATATTCAAAATTTAATATATACTTCATATACTTTTCTATATAAAAAATATAATTTTTCGACAAACAATGTTCAACTGACCACCCTTGATTGCATGTAGTAATGCAGCTAGTCACAAAATATTATACTTTCACAAAACATCTTCATTAAATTAGTACGCACATCACATCAATATAATTAACACTTATTTGTAGTATGTTTATAAGGTTTCATTTTAATTTTTAGTATGACTTTTAATTTTTAGTATCTATTCTTTAATAAATTTGCCTGTGGTTTAGCACACAAAAGTACTTTAAATCATTTTTGGTCCGGAAGAATGCGACTCCTCAAAAGATCGTAGTGGAATCAGAAATTTTATGAAGGGTCTCCAAAAATTAGAGCTGTCAATATGGGCTAGCCCACCCCATCCGGGCTAACCCATACAGGCTTTGACATTTTACGGGTCAGGCCAGGCTAGCCCATTTTTGGTGTGGGCCAGAAAACGGTCGGCCCAACCCATAAGTACGTGGGCTACAGGCTTGCCGGGCCAGCCCACTTTTTTAAAAGTTATATATTTTTTTATAATTATTAAATTAAATTACAAATTATAATTTAAAAATATTATCATAAATATCGATAAAACAATATTACATGGTGTTAATGTTACTACTTGTTAATCAAATCCACAAATAAAATTATCTTTATAATATTTATTAAGTTTTTTTCAAGTAAAAGTATAAATATCTAAATAGAAATATTAACCTAACTGTTTTGCAATGATCACAATAAAACACAAAAAATATGACAATATTCCAACCATAAAAATGTAAAAAATAAACTC